GCGGGCGGGCGGGCGGGCGGGCGGGCGCGCGGGCGGGCGGGCGTGCGGGCGTGCGGGCGTGCGGGCGTGCGTGCGTGCGTGCGTGCGTGCGTGCGTGCGTGCGTGCGTGCGTGCGTGCGTGCGTGCGTGCGTGCGTGCGTGTCTGTGTGTGCGCGCGCGTGTGATGTGGTGTGACGCGGTGTAGCGTGGTGGTGGCGGGTGGGGTAGTGCGGTGGTGGTGGCGGTGCGCGGTGGTGATGCGCGTGCGTGCGTGCGTGCGTTGGTGGGTGGAAGTGGCGGTGGGTGTGCGTGCGGCGGGGCGGGGCGTGGTCCGGCGCGGTGGTGGCGGGCGGATGGGCGCGCGACAAAGAGGCCCGCGCTGGGGCGAGAACGCCATCCTGGACGACGGAGGCAAAACACCGATCCGAACATGAGGCCCACGCTGCAGCGGGAGCACGATTCGGAACGATTCGGGAGCAGAAATGAGGCCGGCGCCTCAGCGAGAGCAGCATTTTGAAAAAAAACGCAGGCGAAAACCCAACTCCCGGGAATCCTGTGTGTAAAAAACAGTACGCGGGGGGGGGTCGACTACTTTCAGGCCTCCTTCGGGGGAAGAGGGAGAGTAGTATTCATATTGAGTAATTGTGGATGGGGATGGGGGGAACGAGGAGGAGGAGGAGGGGGGGGGAGGAGGAGGAGGAGGAGGAGGAGGAGGAGGAGGAGGAGGAGGAGGAGGAGGAGAGGAGGAGGAGAGGGAACAAAGAGGAGGAGGAGGGAACGAGGAGGAGGAGGGGAGAACGAGGGGGAGGGGATGGGGGGAACGAGGAGGAGGAGGAGGAGGGGGGAGGAGGGGGAGGGGAAGGGAGGGATGATCAGGGGCAGCGATAGGGGGGGATCGGCATAGGGGAGGACGGTCATCGACCCCCAATCGCCCACTTGATCGCCAAGAGGGGACCGACAGCCTTCCCCTGCCCAGGAGCGTGCGGATTCGCCGTCGGGGGCCCGTCGCCGATCTATCGGCGATGCATCGCCGATGCTGGGTCGATGTGTCCCCGCCGGTGCCAGCCCCCCCCCCCCCGCTACCGTTGCCCCTCAGATGGGGCGGGGCAAAGGGGGAGTGGGTCGGGAGCAGGATGACAGGGGCGGCTGGCGAGCTCGGGCCGTCGAGCCGTTTCTGCGTGGAGGGTTGAGGGGAGGGGAGGGGGGTGGGGGGAACGAGGAGGAGGAGGGAGAAGGGGGGGACAGACAGTCAGACGCGAGCGCGCCGTTGTCCGCCCAGGCGGCGGGGCCTTGAAGGCCGGCGCAGGCGGGCTGGAGTCCTCAAGTGTGGAGGTGAATGTTCTCGACCGGTGGGGTTGTGTGCTGTGTGTGCTGTAGAAGACTGCTTCCAGGCTGCTCCATGTCTTGCTGTCTTGCGCTAGCGTGAGCCATCGTTGGTTGTCTCGTTCGAAGGGCGTGGTTGCCTCAAGAAACTTCACGATATCATCCTCCCACCCTTTCCGCTGGCCTCGGTGCCTGCGCAGCGCTGGCCGGCGGTCGTGGATGTCCGGTTCCTATGACACAGCAAGCCGTGCCCACGTTCGGCGACTCGCGATTCTTCTTGCCCACCGCCACTTGCGTCTGAAATACGTCGTCGTCCACTCGTCAATGTTGGCCCGTTTCGCAATGTCTGTTGCTATGTGTGTAGCTCTGCGTATGACACCTTCCCAAGGTTCCAGGTCGTTCTCGTCGTCGCCGTCTTCGAAGTCCGGCTGCGTTGTGCTGTCGTCTGAGCTGGTGTTGGTTCTGCCTCCATCGTCGAAGTGAATCTCGTCGTTGGAGCCGTTGCCGTTGTCAGTTGCGCTGCTGCTGCGCCTCGTTCGTTTCCTCGGGGTGTTCACAATGAGTCGTAACATTCGTCGCTGGGCACGTCGAAGTGTTTGGAGGATGTCCTTCGTGAGCGTCCAAGAAATGCAACTGTACAAAGTGTTGGCGTTACCGTGCCGCTGAACAGCCGTAGTCCTACTATGGAGGGGGTACCGCTTGCTTGTGAGTTCGTCTCGAAGCTGGTTAAAACGGCGCCATCCAGACACAAGTCGATTGGAGAGTTCTGCTTGGTGAAAGTCGTGGAACGTGAGCTTGCGACCAAGAGACTTGGTGGTCTGACCTGCGTTGAGAATTTCAATGCTGTCGCCGTCAACGTCAGTGTGCGTTATTGTCCGCGCCTGTCGTCTGCTGACGTTGGTGAGAATTTTGGCCCGCACGTAGATGCTTCCTTCTTGAGGTCCTGGAGTATGATCTTCAATTGTCGTACGGTTGGTGCGAGAAGAAGCAAGTCGTCGGCAAAACGTAGATTCGTGAGCAGTGTAACCTTGGAATGCCCCAGTTGTATGCCAATTCCCTGCGTTCCCGATAAGGTTTGACCTGTGTTGGAAATAATGTTCGATAGCCGCGTTGAGTAGGTAAGAGTTGAGTGTGACTGCTTGTTTTGCTACGCTCAGAATGTTGAGCTCACTGTTGCTGACGTCTGTCCGTCCTCACCTTCCGGTCTGCCCGTTGTAACATTCTAGCAATAGAGTAACGTTTGCTTCTGGGGTCTGGGACATTCTGCATTCGAAGTGTTCTCCATAGGTGTTCGTGGTCGACGCTGTCAAACGCCTTCTTAAAGTCGATCGCAGCGGCCCATAGCGGGAGTTGCCACTCAAGGGAGCGTTCGTGCAGTAGTGTCGCGATGAAACGATGTTTTTCCGTGCAGAAGCTTTTGCGGATGCCAGCTTGGTCAGGTGGTTGCTCAGAGTCAGGGGAAGGGGACAGGGAGGGCTGACCAGGGGCAACGATATGGGGGGAGATAGGCGTAGGGGGCGGCGCATCGACCCCCAATCGCCCACTGATCGCCAAGAGGGGCCCGATAGCCCCACCTTGCCCAGGAGCGTGCGGATTCACCATCGGAGGCCCATCGCCGATCTGTCGGCGATGCTTCGCCGATGCTGGGTCGATGTGTCCCCACCTGTGCCCCCCCCCCCGCTACCGTTGCCCCTCAGATGGGGCGAGGAGATGGGGAGCGAGGCGGGAGGACGAGGAGGAGAGGAGAGGATTGAGCCGTTGAGCCGTTTCTGCGCGTAGGGTGGTGAGGCTGGGGGGGGGAAGGGAGAGGGGGGTGGGGGGAACGAGGAGGAGGAGGAGGAGGAGGAGGAGGAGGAGGGAGGAGCAGGGGGGGAGGGAAGGGCGAGGCGAGGAAGCGAGGAGAGGGGCGGGTGGAGGAGGAGGAGGAGGAGGAGGAGGAGGAGGAGGAGGAGGAGGAGGAGGAGGAGGAGGGGGAGGGGGAGGAGGAGGAGGAGGAGGGGAAGGGGGCCCTCCCTCTCCCCTCCCCCTCCTCTCGGCCGGGCGCACGGCGGAATGCCCGCCCCTGCGCAGGAGTGGCACCCTGTGCGCGGCGGAAGTTTCCGGGGGGGCGGGAGGGCAGGCCCCAGGCGTGCAGGCCGCGATGGCCGCGTCGCGTCGCACGCAGCGAGCTGCGGGCCCTGCACGAGTGGTCACTCCTGC